GTTTCTTGGACATCCCATCAAAGACGCTGTAGTCACAGTCCCTGCTTATTTTAATGATTCCCAGCGTCAGGCAACAAAGGATTCAGGTGCCATTGCGGGTCTGAACGTGTTGCGTATTATTAATGAACCTACAGCAGCAGCAATTGCCTATGGTTTAGATAAAAAGGTAAGCAATGTCTAGTTTACACAAAGCGTTTGGTGGTGTATATTATGGGTGTAAAATTTCTCATAATTTAGGGACATGGTGAACGAAATGTTCTAATTTTCGATCTGGGAGGTGGCACGTTCGATGTATCTATACTAACTATTGAGGATGGAATCTTTGAAGTGAAATCAACTGCTGGAGACACTCATCTTGGGGGTACGGTTTCTCATATTATTTAAAAAGGTTGCTAGGTACTAGCCGTCCGAGTTTATTGTTTTTGGTTTTTTCTTTTAGTACTATATTATATTCTTCAGGCGAAGATTTCGACAATCGTATGGTGAACCACTTTGTCGCAGAATTTAAACGTAAACATAAGAAGGACTTGGCCTCGAATCCTCGTGCCCTTCGGCGGTTGCGTACTGCATGTGAAAGAGCAAAACGGACGTTGTCCAGCTCGTCACAAGCAAGTATCGAGATCGATTCACTGTTCGAGGGTATCGACTTCTACACAAGTATTACTCGTGCCCGTTTTGAAGAGCTCTGCGCAGATTTGTTCCGCTCAACAATGGATCCAGTAGAAAAAGCTTTGCGTGATGCAAAAATGGATAAGGCTCAAGTGCACGACATTGTTCTAGTTGGTGGCTCTACTCGTATTCCTAAAGTGCAGAAGTTACTTTCCGACTTTTTCTCTGGCAAAGAGTTGAATAAGAGTATTAATCCCGATGAAGCTGTTGCATATGGGGCATCAGTTCAGGCAGCTATTTTATCTGGAGATAAGTCTGAAGCTGTGCAGGATCTTCTACTTCTAGATGTCGCTCCTCTCTCCTTGGGAATTGAAACTGCTGGCGGTGTAATGACTGCCCTCATTAAGCGTAATACTACCATCCCAACTAAAACGTCCCAAACCTTCACTACGTATTCCGACAACCAGCCTGGTGTGTTGATTCAGGTTTATGAAGGTGAGCGAGCAATGACTAAAGACAATAATCTGCTTGGTAAATTCGAGTTGTCTGGAATCCCACCTGCTCCCCGAGGTGTCCCTCAAATTGAAGTAACGTTTGATATTGATGCGAACGGTATCCTGAATGTATCTGCTCAAGACAAATCAACTGGCAAACAGAACAAGATTACCATTACGAATGATAAGGGCAGGCTGTCGAAGGATGAAATCGAGAGGATGGTACAGGAAGCTGAGAAGTATAAAGCAGATGATGAGGCCCAGAAAGAGCGTATTTCAGCGAAGAACGCTCTTGAGTCGTATGCATTCAATATGAAACAAACCATAGAGGATGAGAAGCTCAAGGATAAGATTTCGGAGGAGGATAAGAAAAAGATTCAGGATAAGTGTGATGAGACCATCAGGTGGCTGGATGGCAATCAAACGGCTGAGAAGGAAGAGTTCGAGCACCATCAGAAAGAGTTAGAGGCTGTTTGCAATCCAATTGTAACCAGACTGTATCAGAGTGGTGCAGGAATGCCGGGAGGTAGGCTTTTGAATAGTCTTTTGTATTTATGTAGTACAGTAGATTTATTACTTTGGATTATGACCTTCAGTAATTTAGGGGGTAATTTTTGTTTAATGCGAGCGACTAATTTATATGCATTTTAGGGATGCCGGGTGGCATGCCTGGCGGAACCCCAGGTGGTGGTGCTAATAGTGGTGGGTCAGGAGGCGGGCCCACAATTGAAGAAGTGGATTAGGTTGAGGCAAGACTTCGTAGCACGATCTCAATGTAGCGTCATACTTGCAGTGTTGGATGTTGCGATTGAATGTCAAGTGTCTGCCGTCTACGGTCATGTTTATTTATGTGGTGTTGATTTGTTTTTGAGTTTCATTTGGTGTATCAGGCGTATTTTGTTGCAGTAATAATAAAAGTTTTTCTGTAACATCTGTAGCTAGCAAAATGAAAGGAATGACTGCAATGATATCTAATAATCGATGTTTGGGAATTGGTATGGGTTACAGAGAGCGGGCGGGTACGAGAGTTTGTAGAGTCGGGAGCTGACCTTGCTCTGCGATCTGGAAAGACCGTTTGTCGGTCCCAGTCAAAATATGTGGCGCGTGATAAAGGGCCTAGTCACTCTATAGTATTTTCCGGAGCTTCGTGATAACTTATGTGGTGTAATGGCCGATTCCGTTGTGTGTGCTTCCACCATGACGATAGCAGATATGTATGCACTCTGCTTGCATCATTAGAAGACTGAAGCGACATTTACTTATTTGTGTAGTTGCGAAAGAAGTAATAGACAGAAACAATATGAACCGCATTTAATGAGTTAAAAATATAGCAAAAAAAAAAAAAA